CAGGGCGGCGGCCCCGGGCGGGGAGGCTCCCGAGAGCCCGAGCCCGGCTGAGTCTGGGGCGGCTCCGCTTCTGCCTGGGACCCGGCAGCGGGGAGGAAGGCCGGGGGCAGAGGCTGCCGAGGGGGGACCTGCCGGCCGCGCCCGCAGCCCCCGGGGACAGGCCGGGTTGGCGCGAAACCTCCAGCCCCGGGCCGGCCCGGCGGCAGGAAAGGGCGGGGCGGCAGTGCGACCCCGCGGCCCCGCAGCTGTGCCCGCCTGTGCATCCGACCTGCTGCCAGCCCGAGGGGGGCCGAGGACCACACGCCCCGCCACGGGAAGGGGCGACGGGGTGCACAAAGCCGGCGTGCCCCGAGCTGCCAGAGCCACACGCTCGTGTTGTGCTGAGGAACCTCCGCAGCAGCCCCCCGCCCCCCCAGAAACCAGTGCCCAGGGCGCCGCCTCTGAGGACGAGGCGTCTGCTTCAGGACACTGAGGAGAAATGGCCGCTGCGAGCGGCGAGTGGCCCTTGGCTGGGCCCGGGTCACCAGCGCGGCGGCCTCCACATCCCCACGCGGGCAGGAAGCCCCGAGGGCCGGAGTCCGGCTTCCCGCTGCGGTCGGGACGCGAGGCGGCGCCGGGGGCCATCTGTGTCCGCAGGAGAAGCTCCTGCAGTGGGCGCCGAGGGTCTAGGAACGTGGGTCCGCGGGTGTGGGGGGGTCGGTGCCGCCCAGGGACCCTGCGAGAAGCGCGATGGCCCGGTCGGCCCCGCAGCTTTTCTTCTGGCTTGAGAATTCTCAGCCCTGCGGGTTCCACAGAGGCATAGAATGGGGTGAACCCCGAAACGTTATATGACGTCTAAGAAGCCAGGCCCAGAAGATCACAGACTCTATATGATTCCATTTAAAGAACGTTCTGGAAAAGGCAAAACAATGGTGACAGAAAGATCAAGGGGAGGGGGGCAGGGAGGGAGGGGTTCTGGGGTGGGATCAGCCGCGCTGCAGTCACCCCACCTCACACCTCTGCCCAAAACGCTCATCAAAGGAAGCCCTTGGGCCTCCCCGGTGGCGCAGGGGCTTGAGCGCAGCCGTGTGGCCGTCCACGGCCTTTGTGGCGTGAGTTCGATCCCCAGCGAGCGGGGAGCAACCCCCACGGCGCGGCAGACCTCTCCTAGCTCGCCCGCTGCTCCCCTCAGCAGTGTGTGAATGCAAACTCTTGCCAAATTCTATTCCCAGTAGTGGGGTAACCGCCAGCCCCTGAGAACGTGACACTGTTTGGAAGCGGGGCCCTTGCGATGCGAGCACAGATGTGCAGGGAGCTGACCCGTCAGGATGGACCCCGGGCCGGCAGGACCCCCTCACGCAGAGGGAGAGGGATGGGGCGACCTGGGACACAGAGAAGACCCAGCAGGCACCCAGAAGCCAGGGCCGAGCATGGGTCGGTCACGCTCCGGGCCCTGCCGACGCCCCGGGTCAACGCGTTTCTGTTGTTCCCGCTGCCCTAGGAAGGGGAAGACCCCAATAACTTGACTTTTTTCAGGGGGCAAAAACTCGGGCTCCTCAGCTCCAGAGCACAAGCAGGCCGCGGGACGGCCCTTTTGCAAAGTCGTGACGGCTCCAGATAATACATTTGCTTGTCCCTGGACTCCTGTGTGAGGCCCAGCCTGGAGGCGCCGCGTCTGGAAACTGGCCATTCCGCTGGGCTGCCTCTGGCCAGGCCATGGTGGGGGGTGGGGGTGGCGGGAGCGGCTAGGTTGTGGGGAGTCACTGGTTGCTGGGATCCCAGCCTAGGGTGGCCAGGTACTGAGGGCTGCAGAGGCTTCCCCAGGAGGGACCCCCGAAGTCAAGACCCTGCAGGCCCAGTGGGTGGCTGGGAAGCTCGGGTGGGGGTGGGAGCATATCAGGTGAGAGCTGGTCACCAACCCCTCTTGTCTGAGCATGTCCAGCCTCCCCAGGCCTTCCCCGAGGTGACTCCGGCCCTCCTAGGCCCTCCTCGGCCCTCCTCCCTCCCTCTTCCTCCTGGGAGCAGCCAGGAGGTGGGGGAGGGGAGCAGGCAGGGGACTGGCAGGGAGGATCAGGTCTGGCTGGGAGGCTGGCGGCCGGGACTCCTGGGTGCAGAGGACACTGGGGGCCAGATTCAAACGTCCAGAGTGGCGCGGCTGGGCGCCAGGCCAGCCGGGGCAGGGGCTCAGTCAGGTAGCCACAGGCAAATGACGTGACCTTTGGAGCTCGCAGGGTGACCTTGAAGGGCAGCCCTGCGCCTGAAGCAGGGAGACAGGCAGTGAGTCACCTCTGGGCCTCGCTGAGGGTGACAGGTGCCCACCGCGCACTGGTGCTTCCCCCCACAACCCTCACCACCCCAGCGTGAGCTCTTATCGCCCCCATTTGGCCGTTGGGGGAAACAGGCTGCAGGCTTCGCCGAACCACCCAGTGCGCGCAGATGACGGGATTTGGACTGAAGCCATGAGGTGCCGTGCCAGGTGCCAGGCTCCGGTGCCAGGCTGTCTTCTAGGTTCATTTCCACACCCCTCCCACCTCCTGGGGGGCTCGAACCCCTGGGGGCTGGGCCATATTCACTGTCTCCAGGCTGGCCCAGTCCCCTGCCGGCGGGAGCGGGGCGCAGGGAAGTCCAGCTGAGTGTGAGTATGGCCTGGTGGTAGCTGCTTAACAAGTGGTTCTTGGGGTGTGGGGGGAGGCTGGTGTTTAGAGGGGGACGGGGGCCGCACAAGGGGAGGGTGGAGTGTCTCCAGACATCTGCAGTGCCCCAGTCTGTTCCCACACATTGCTAGGCAGCCCTCAGACCACTTTGCAAAGGAATTGGCACCCCAACTCTGCAGAAAGGAACTGCCTGTCCCAGCCCAGACCCTAGGAGTCCTGGCTCCCAACTCATCCAGTCAGGAGCCCCAGCTCCATCCCTCCTCCCATATTTATTTTTCTAGGACCCAGACAACTAGGTCCCCAGCCTCCCAGACTCAGGAATCCTGATCCCTCCAGATCAGTGTGGGGGCCCAGCTAGTGGCCAGCTGCCCACTGGGCCCTGCTCACCAGGCCAGAGGCCCCCCAGGGCCCAGGTGCCCTGAAGTCCGAGGAGGCTCCTGACAAGGCAGAGTCCTGCCCGGGATGCCCACTTCCCGGGCTGCCCTGGCTGGACTTGGGAAGCCAGGCCTGGGCCCTCCCCGCCTCCATGCCGAGGCCCGGCCCCTGCCCCTGGCCCTGCCTGGCGCCCGGTGTAGAAACTGCCAGCCCGGAGCGGAGCCACCCCGCCGCCCCCAGCTGCAGACACCCTGACGTCACACTTCTGCGGTCTTTCCGCGTGACCCCAAGCTAGCTGGAGCCCCCTGAGCCTCAGTCTCCTCCTTTGTAAGAGGGGGTGGGAGCGCTTCGGCCTCCCGGGCACGTCAGGACCACGTCCTGCCAGGCAGCTCGCGGGCAGGGCACGGCGTGTTAGTCTGGTGCCATCGTCCCCAGCGCCGGGCATGTCGCACCCCACGGGGCGCCTGGGGGGAGGGAGCGGCTGCCCGGCCCGGCGAGGGGTCTGCAGGCAGCAGGTGCCCAGCGAATGGGCCTGCGCTGCCCTCCGCCGCCGGCCGGACCGCGCCTCCGACCCGGGCCAAGGCCGCCGGCCCCGCGCCCGCCCTGCCCTTCCGGCCGCCAGGGGGCGCCCCCGGCCCCGCCCTCACCTGTGCGGGCCGCGCACCTGGCGCCGCCTCCGGAAGAGGGGACCGGGCCGGGGACCGCGGGGACCGCGGACGGAGCCCGACGGCGACGGGTGAGCGTCCAGAGGGCCCCGAGGTCAGGGCCCCTCGAGCTCCGGGCGGGCGGGGATCGGGCCGAGTCGCCCGGGCAGACGGGCGGGGGCGGGGGGGGGGCTGGACGGGGCGGGGCGGGGCGCCGCGACCCCGCCAGAGGCAGGCGGGGCTGGGGCTCGGCGGGCGCTGAGGGGAGGGCCCGGGGCCCCGACGTCGGGGTTGGGGTGCTGGACGGCAGCTCGGCGGGGGCCGCGGGGAGAGTGACGCCCCCGGGGTCCCGAGCGGGGTCCCGAGCGCAGGGGCCACGTCGGGGCGGCCGCCGGGTCGGGCCGGGGCGGGTTGGCTGCGGGACAGCGGGCGGGGGTGGGCCCGGCCCCGGCGGGGGGAGGGGGGACAGGTGGAGGGCGGGGTGTGTGTGTGGGCGGGGGTGTGTGTGGGGGGGGGCGGGTGTGCGTGTGTGTTCGCGCGCCCGCGCAGAGTCGGGCGACCGCCGAGGGGCGGGAGGGGAGAGCAGGGGCCAGGGAAGCTCGGCGCCCCCAGCCGCCGGGAGCCCCAGAGCTGCGGGCCGGGCCCCGGGGAGGCCGCCGGGCTGCATCCCCAGGGGCGGGCCGGGAAGTAAACAGAAACCCGGCGCGGCCGCTGGCACAACCTGTTGCCTCGCCCGGTCCTGCCCCGCCCGACACCGGCCGTGGGAACCCGGGGACTGGAGCCAACATTCCCCCAGTGGAAAGCTAAGGGCCTGGGCCGGTTCATGGCCTGGGGACTCAACCCCCCGCGCTGAGAACACAGGAGCCAGCCCGGATGGCTGGGGGGGCCAGGGGCCGAGGACGCCCAGGCCCAGGTTCCTGGAAGGAAGAGGGACCGGACTTGCCCCGGGTCCCCACGATCCTGCCTTCTGGGAAGTGCCCGGCGGGTCAGGGGCCGGGAGCCAGGGGCTGGGTTCGGGGAAAGGGGCAGGCACAGCCCCGGGCGGCCTGGGTGGGTCCCGAGCACCCGGCCGAGGTGTCCCTGGGGCAGAGAGCGTCTGCCCGCCGCCGAAGGCAGGGCCGCTCATTACCCGCTTCTCCCTGCCTCAGCTGCTGCTCCCTGCCTCAGTTTACCCTGGGGACACTAACGGAGCAGCGGCCTAGACTGGGTTGTTATCCCAGCCAGGGCGCTGGCTGCGGGCTGAAGGGCTGGTGGGGGCCGGGGGAGCGTGGAGGAGGGCGAGCCGCGGGCGGGGCGGCGAGTACCCCGTCCCCACAGACCCGTCCGCCGGCACAGATGCTGCGGCACCATGAGCTCCCCAGAAGGGCCGAGCTTCCCGGGGCTGCTCTCGGGGGGTGCCTCCCCCAGCGGCGACGAGGGCTTCTTCCCCTTCGTGCTGGAGCGGAGGGACTCCTTCCTGGGAGGAGGCCCCGGGCCCGAGGAGCCCGAGGACCTGGCCCTGCAGCTGCAGCAGAAGGAGAAAGACCTGCTGTTGGCCGCGGAGCTCGGCAAGATGCTTCTGGAACGCAATGAGGAGCTGCAGCTGCGGCTGGAGACGCTGAGCACGCAGCATGCCGAGCGGGAAGAGGTGAGCGGGTCCCCGGGCCGGGCGGGCAGAGGGGGGCGGGCTGCAGCCTGGCGGGAAAGGGCAGCATGCAGGGCCGGGGGGCGCGTCTGGTCTGCCCCGCGGCATTCTTAACCCCGGGGCCCCGGGGCGAAGAGCAAGGACAGGTCAGGACCCGGGTCGGGCTCCTGCCTGGCTGTGCGGCGCTGGGCAGGCTGCCGGCCCTCTCTGAACCTCAGGGCCGGCTCCTCAGAAGCCCCCCTGCCCGGCCCCGGGCTACACGCTTTCCATGCAGCCTCTGGCCAACCCTCGCCCAGCCGTGCCATCCAGGGACAGTTCCTCCCTCTGCCCAGCTCTGGGGCCGCCCCACGGTCACACTGGTGGTCACACTGGGCCCCCCGGACACCACTGACCCCCGTTTATCTCAACACGGTTGGCCCTGGCTGGCCCACCGCCCGCACCCTTCCACCCCGCCCTCTAGTGGGCCCACGTCAGTGGCACTTGATTCTAGGACCCACCACCCGCTCCCCCAGCCCGGCTTCCCGCCCAGGATCAGCCCCATCTCCGGACTCCGCTCCCCGCCCCCCTGCGAGCCCTGCTGCCCCTTCTGGCTTCCACGTCCTCCGTTTCCATCTCGGCGTCCCTCCTCCGGGCCACCGGAGGGCATTTGCTCTTGCCCAGAATCTCCCGGTGGTTCCGTCACACTCAGAATGAAGCTGAAGTGCCTTACCCAGGGCCCCAAAGTGTGCCAGTGCCCCTGAGCTCATCTCTGCCCACTGCCCCTCCTTCCAGGCCTTGGCGGCTCCTTCAGTGGCTGTAACTTGTGCCCCGGGGCCTGTGCACCTGCTGCATCTTGGTGCCATCTTCCTTCTTGCCCTGCAGCAGTCAGTTTAGAGGATACTTCTTCCTGAAGGAGCCCTCCCACCCTAGGGCACTCCTCATCACTGTCCAGAGTTTCTTTTTCAGGGGGGCCTGAACCCCAAATCCCCTCCAGAAAGTTCCCAGGATTTCTGTATAGCCCTTACTGTCCCTCTAAACTACCGGGCGCAAACCTGTGTCCGTGGGCCTGTGGGCCTGTGGGCTCTGAGCTGCTTGAGGCAGGGAGCTTGGTGGGGTGCCTGCAGCCAGCCCCCAAACAAGAGGAGCGCGTACGAACTAGGTGGATGGATGGACGGGTGGACGGACTGACGGATGGATGGACGGATGGAGAGGCCGGGAAGGAGCTGGAACTTGCTGGAGCATGAAGCCACAGCAGAGCAGGGAACCAGCCGGGACGCCTGCTCCCACACATGCCCCCCCAGAACTGAGCTCGGCTGCCTGGGCTGGAGGCCCTCTCCACTGACTCATCGTGTGTCCTTGGGCAAAGCTTTTAACCTCCGCGAGCCTCGGTTTCCTCCTGTGTAAAGGGGGTGTGGAGGCCCTGACTAGCGGAAGAATGGACTATGCTGGGGCAGCTCCAGCACAGGCCCTGGGGAGCAGCTGCTAATTGTGGCCGCTGTGGCCGGCATCACCTTCCTGCTTGGGGTTCTCGAGACAGCGGGGGTCAGAGGCTGGCCCCCTGACTTGCCTGCCTCCCCAAGCTGGGCATCTGGGTGTGCCCGCAGCGTCCCCCCGCTGGTTGGACAGGTTTGGGGGAGGGCAGGCCGAGGCACCGGGCCAGGGTGGGGCTGAAGAGGGTTAATTAGAGGGAGCTGGCCAGAGGCTGGGGAGAGGGGCCAAGCAGACCCAGGAGAGGGCCGCAGAGGCTGGCACGCCGGTCCCCCGCCGCGGCGTGAGGCCATGGGCCGGGGTTTCAACTCTACCAGACTCAGGCGCCAGAAACGCCGCCTGCGACCTCGGGCTCAGAAACTCAGGGGGCAGCCAGAGGTGAGTGGGCATCAGGGGGCCCCACCCCCAGCATCCTGATGGCCCCTCCTGCTCCCTGTCGCCCAGCGCCTGGTGCCTGCCCTGCGCTGCCAGCTTCCTCCGCGCTCCTCTGGCTTCCTGTCCTCAACCCAGGAGGCTCTTGGGGGCTCTGCGTCCCCGAGGGGGCTCCGGCCTCATCTTTCCCTCTGTCTGACCCCCACAGCGACTGCAGCAGGAGAACCATGAGCTGCGCCGGGGCCTGGCGGCTCGAGGCGCCGAGTGGGAGGCACGGGCTGTGGAGCTGGAGGGGGACGTGGAGGCGCTGCGGGCCCAGCTGGGCGAGCAGCGCTCCGAGCAGCAGGACAGTGGACGCGAGCGGGCGCGGGCCCTGGGGGAGCTCAGCGAGCAGAACCTGCGGCTCAGCCAGCAGCTGGCGCAGGTGGGACAGCCCGGCCCCCAGCCCCCGGGCAAGGGGGGGATGTTCCCTTGGGGGTGGGTGCGCTGGGCTTGGTGTTGAGACTGGGGCCAGCTGAGGGGTCCCACGGCCTCCACCACCCCAGGCCTCTCAGACGGAGCAGGAGCTTCAGCGGGAACTGGACGGCCTTCGGGGCCAGTGCCAGGCCCAGACCATGGCCGGTGCGGAGCTGAGGACGCGGCTGGAGAGTCTGCAGGGGGAGGTGAGTGCCCGCCAAGCCGGGGGCCGCTGAGCAGGAAAGCCCGGGCTGGGGGCCCCTGGGGCCGGCCCAGACCTCCCCTGCAGCCGGGACCTCCCCCCAGAACCAGATGCTGCAGAGCCGCCGCCAGGACCTGGAGGCGCAGATCCGGGGTTTGCGCGACGAGGCGGAGAAGAGCCAGGCCAGGCTCCAGGCGGCCCACGAGGAGCTGCTGCTGCTGCGGCGCGAGAGGCGGGAGCACCGCCTGGAGGTGCCCGCGGGCTGGGGGGCAGGAGCGGGGCGCGGGCCGGAGGCTGCCGGCGGGGGCTGCGCGAGGGCGCGAGGGCGCGCTGGGAATGGCGGCCGGCGGCGCGAGGGAGGGGCCGGGCTCCGCGAGGCGGCCCGACCGGCGGGGCTGGAGGGAGGCGGGGCTGGAGGGAGGCGGGGCTGGAGGGAGGCGGGAGACGCTGAAGCCTGGGCGGTCCGCGCCCGGTTTTATAGGCGAGGAAGTGGGTGTCGCGGGGTGCTGCCTGCGACCTACGTGCGGGCGGCTCGGGCTGCGGCCCTGGACGGCCCCGGCGGCGGGAGGCGAGCGCCCCCGGCTGAGCGGCCCCCCCGCCGCGGCTGAGCGCCGGCTCGTCCGTCCCCGCGGCAGCTGGAACGCGCGCGCTCTGAGGCCGGGGAGGCACTGACCGCCCTGCGGAGGCTGCAGCGGCGCGTCTCGGAGCTGGAGGAGGAGTCGCGCCTCCAAGAAGCCGACGTGTCCGGAGCCTCTCTGCAGTCGGAGCTCGCCCACAGCCTCGACGGCGACCAGGACGCGGACCAGGCCCTGGTCGCAGAAGGACCCGAAAGCAGCCGGGTGAGTTGGCGGCCTCTCGGCCCCCATGCTGGCCGCCGAGGGCTGTGGATTCCGCCCTCCCCCCATTCCCCACCTCACTGACCGGTCGTTCCTCTGGCCAGCAGACCAGTCTGTCTGGGGAGACCCAAGAGGTGTCCAGCCACCAGTCTTTGCCCCAGGAGGAGAGCTCGGAACCCCCCACGAAGCGGGCATCGCTGAGCCCAGTGGACTTACTGGAGAAGGAAGCAGAAGTGGCCCTACTACAGGACCAGGTGGGGTGACACACAGTACCCCGCTCCGCGTCCTTCCCAGGGCCAGTTTCTTTCCATTCTACCCTGCCATGCCACTGCCCACTAGCCCTCTCAACCCGGATGACCCTTCATCCCAACAAGCCTGCAGCTGTGCTTCAAAAGCCTGCCTGCTTGCCACCACCTCAGGGAAGACTTGCTCTCCAAGCATCCTTCCTGCAGGCTCAGAGCCCCTACCCAGCCCTGCCCCACCCAGCCTGCACCCTGGGGCTGGGCAGCAGAGGACCACTGAAGCTCCTTGTGGGATGCCCGGAGCCTGGCCTGGCTCTGTTTTGCCTCCTCGCCTGTCCAGGTCCCGGGCTTCGGCTGCCTGGACTGTTGTAGCCCGAGGGGAAGGCAGGGATCGCTGCAGCCAGGGCTGATGAGCAGTCGGGGGCACCCAGGGGCCTACCCACCCGTGTCCCCTCCTGTGCCTGCAGATCGCATTGCAGCGCGCAGAGCTAGAGTTCCTGCGGGAGGAGCTGCGGCGGCAGAAGGAGCTGTGGGCCCAGGAGGATCCCACGGCGGCCCTAGGCGGGGCTCTCTCGGACCGGGACCAGGCCGTGAACAAGTGAGCCTCTGCCGCACTCACCAGGGCCCCAGAGGGCTACCGGCCCGCAGGGTACTCTGGCCTGTAGGGGCCTCAGACCCCCAGCCGCGTGCAGGTTGTTTACCCCCTCAAAGGGCTCCGACCTCCTTGGTTTCGGGCCCGGGGCCTCCCCGCCCCCAGTGCGCGCTCGCCACCCCAGCGCCCTCGGGCCTGCTCTCTCCCCGCCCCGCCGCAGGGCCCTGGAACTGTCGCTGGAGCTCGGCCGCGTGTCTCTGGAGCGCGACTCCCTGTCCCGGGAGCTGCTGCGCACCATCCGCCAGAAGGTGGCGCTCACGCAAGAGCTGGAGGCCTGGCAGGTGAGGGGCGGGGCCGGGCGGCGGTGGGCGGGGCGGTGGGCGGGGCCGGCGCGCTGACCCGCCCCGCCCCGCCCGCAGGACGACATGCAGGTGGTGATCGGGCAGCAGCTGCGCTCGCAGCGCCAGAAGGAGCTGAGCGCAGGGGGACCCGCGCCGCGACGCCCCGCGCCCCGCTTCTCCCTGCGCCTGGGCCCGGGGCCCGCGGGCGGCTTCCTCAGCACCCTCTTCCGAAGGACCTGAGGGCCCGGCGGGCCGCCCGCGGGCTCTCCGGCTCTCTCCTCTCCCTGCTGATGGAGCCACGGGACCGGCCCTTCTTTCAAAGGGGGCTGGAGCTCCCCCGGCCCCGGGAGGCTGGGCAGGGGCTCACTGTGAGCAGGCGCCAGCTTTGGGGGCCAGAGGCCCCGGGTGGGTGGCGGGGCCGGTGGGGCAGAGCTGTGTATTTTTCGACTCTATATAGGTCTACCTTTCCTACGCGCTGTGCCCCCCGCAAGCCCCAGGCCAGGGCCAGGAGGGGGTATTTATGTATCCAGGCAGGACAGAGTAATATATAAAGCCTTACACCAACCTGGCCTCCTTTCTTGAGAAGAATGCACCTGGAGGAAAAGCCTGCCATTTTATTTGTAAACAAACACGCAGCTCCACCCCGGGGGGAGGTTGCGAGGGTGACTGGGGTCAGAAGGACAAGGAGAAGGCTCGGTAGCCCAGATTGGTGAAGACATCCACCCGGCAGCTGTTGCCCGCAGCAGTCAGGACCTGGGGGCAGGAACAGGGGTGACCTACTGCCCACACAGCTGGCCTCCCAGGACCGGCACAGCCCCGAGCTGGACCCACCTTGCACTCAGGGGCTGCTGGCTGCTGGTTGAGGCTGAGGCTGAGCAGTCCTGGAGAGGACCCGGGCACCTGGGCCTTGAGCTCCCCGCTCAGCTGCCACTGGTTGACACAGCGGCCCTGGCCGGCCGACAGAATCTGTGGAGGGTGGAAAGGAGACGCAGGGGTCAGGGCTGGAGAGGGGAGCCAGCAGGGGTGGCAGGAGGAGAAGGAGGGCCTCACCAGGTCCTGGTAGAAGGTGACATGCTTCTGTGGTGCCCGCATGGGGAAGACGGTGGTGGGCGTGGAGGAACGGAGATGCCAGAGGGTGAGCGCTGGGCCCCCTCCACAGACCTAGGTGGGAAGGTAGACCCCTAGCTGTGTGAGCCACAGGCCCCCCGGCTCACAGGACGCAGAACTGTCATCTCATCCTGCACTCTGTCCGGCTTACCATCCAGTCTGAGTCAGTTGCCAAACATCCGATCCAGCGCCCATTGTGGGGCCTCGAGCACTCCTGGACGGAGAGAACACGGAAGAGTTGGAGATGCACAGGCAGCCCTTGGGGGCGGTGGGGTGGCGGGGGGCGGTAGTGCCCTCACCTCGTGCTTGTATACCTCGATCGTCTGGACCTCCTTGGCTGTGCGGAGGTCTGCAGGGAAAGAACTATAGGCTCACCCTACTCGCCCCAGCCTCCCTCACCATCATCCTTCCCCCAGCCAGCCATGTCTTTACCCCAAAGCCGCACGGCCCCATCCTCGCCACCCGACAGCACCTCGGGGCTCCGCTCCCGCAACGCCAGGCAGTGGATGTAGTCTGTGTGGCCACGGAGGGCCCGCTGCCAGAGAGGGACAGTATCAGTACTGGATCCAGGAAAGTGCTATGCTGGCCTGACCACCCAGCCCCGCAGCCCTCCTCACCGTGAAGGTCCCGGTTTCAAGGTCCATAGTATGCAGCTGACAGTCCCCCCCAGCCAGGATGAGGGAATTCTCCTGCAGAGGAGAGCAGGGTGGGGCCGGAAGTCAGGGCAGAAACCTGGACCCTGAACGAATACCTTCCCCTCCCTTCCCTGCGGTTTGGGCCAAGAAAAGGACGGGGTAGATGCCCAGTGACAGGGGACAAAGACCTTGGGGACGAGAAGCAGAGCATTGATCTCAGGCACTTCCAGGCTGGTCCTGGGGGAGGAAAAGCAGGGTCAGCTTTGGAGGGGCCACCCTCCACACCTCTACCCTGCGTCCTGGCTCACCTGTATGGGGGCTGACGACGCCACAGCTCCTTACAGCCCTATGGGAGGAAGACAGTGGGTGATCTCACAGCCTCTCCTGGAGTGGGCGCCCCACCCTGCCCACCCCACACGCTACCTTTTTGAGGATCTCTGCCCACAGCCAAGCCTTCACCTCCCCGTCGCCAGCACTGAGCAGATGCCGGTCAGTAGAGACCATGCTGTAGACGGGTCCATCGTGGGCTAAACAGAAGTGCAGACCCTGAGTGACCCCGTTCTGCTCCCTCCACCCGGGGGGCGGGGGGGCGGGGGGGGGGGGTCTAAGCCAGACTCAGTGGCTGCACCCACCTAGGAAGGTCACCACTGGCTTCTTACTCTCCTCTTTGGCCTCGGAGCTCAGGGCAGCAGACAAACTGAAGGGACAGCCAAGGGGCATTAGTCCCAGAAGGGCAGAGTGCCAGGCTGATGGGTGGTGGGGAGCAGGGGCCAGGGTACCTGAAGATGGCTATCTGCCCGTAATTGTTGCCAGCCGCTAGGAACTTCCCGCAGGGTGAGACGTTCTGGGAGAAAATGGTCATGTGCAGCCGCTGCAGGGCCTGAAACACTTCCAACTGCGGGGAGAGGCTGGGTGAAGGCTGGGCAGAGGGTCTGGGCCGCGCACCCAGACCCCCTCCCGCTTCCCTGCCGTCAGTCCGGCCTCCGCTTTCTTTGGGGTGGCCCACAAACGGGCAGCTGCCAGGGCCGGCTCCAGGAGGAGGAGGAAGGGGCGTGGAGGCGCGATGCCTCGGGAGTCCCTGAGCAGGCCCCCACCTCAACCGTCGAATGGACCTCACGAGTGTCGCCACTGGATGGGCGACTGTACGCGGAGCTCCGCACAGAGCTACCACGCGGACAGTGCATTTTAGAAGTGGCTCTTATTCAATGCAGAAAACACTGATTTCCATGGTAGGCTCCTGGCGGGAGTCCAAGTTCTCCCAACAGTTCACGCAAAACAGGGCTCAGAGCCCTGTTTCCTGCCCGCCCCCTCCGAGCCGGGCGTGAACTACAAGTCCCAGAAGGCACCGCGCGCCCGCCGGCTCACCTGACCCAGCGGCACCGCATGAGGCACAGCGCGTTCCATGTCGAGAACTCCAAGTCCCAGAGTGCTCTGCGCAAGACGCAGCCTCACGGGTCCGGACGTGAGCTTCCGGAGCTTCCCTAGTGGGAAGCTCACCGTCCCAGCGCGGCCGGCCGGCCTGGCGAGAGAGGCCGCCGTAGACCACCGAAGCGCCAGGAACCGACCGAGGTGACCGCCGCGAAGACCCCCGACACTAAGCGGAGCCCACCGCAGCCCCGCTACGCCGAATCCCCTCCCCCACGTCGCTTAGCCGGCCCGCCTTCCAGCCGCACGCCGTCCGTCTCTGCGCTTGCGCGGAACCTCGTCGCTGCGCGCGCCTAGGCCCCGCCCCTCACAGGCCCCGCCCCTGTCGCCAGGATCCCACCCCTCTTCTCGTAGGACCCCGAGTCCCGATGATCCTGCAGCAGCCCCTGGAGCGAGGCCCCCCGGATGGGGCCCAGCGCGACCCGAGGGCCGCCTCGGGGGCGCCCCGAGGCCTGGACGCGAGGTGCGTAGGGGGCCCCGGGTGGGCCGAGCCCAGGGGCGCAGGAGCTTTGGCCGCGAGCCCAGGGCTGGTCTGCAGGGTGGCACGTGTGGGCACCGAGCTGGCACTGAGCTGAGACCGGGTCGGGGACTCGGGCCTAAGACTTCCGAGGCAAACTGCTGGATGGTTCTGGAGAGGAGGGTGATGTCACGTCACTGAGGTAGGGATGGCCTGGGGGCTCCTCGCTGATGCTGCCAGCCCAGGTGGGCTGATTCCAGGATGAGGCCAAGAGGGTGGGGTGCACCTGGCTCTCTTTTCTTCCCAGCTCTCCTCTCCGAGGGGCTGTGCCCATGAGCACCAAGCGGCGCCTGGAGGAGGAGCAGTGAGTTCGGGGCAGGGAGGGACTCCCAGCCAGCCTCTCTCACACCAGGTCCCGTCCCACTGTCCTTTCTGAGTACCTCAGCCTGTCTCTCTCCAGGGAGCCCCTTCGGAAGCAGTTCTTGTCCGAGGAGAACATGGCCAACCACTTCTCTCGGCTCAGCCTGCACAATGACCACCCGTACTGCAGCCCCCCTGTGGCTTTCCCTTCAGCTTTGCCCCCACTCAGGTAGGCCCTGTCCACCAGCCGGGCCCTGCGGGGGAGCGCACCCGGGCCTGGGAGCCACCACCGGGCCCTGCCTCATCCCACTATCTTTAGCTTCTAGCCATCCTGGCTTTGTTCCCCATCTTGGCTCCTTGGAAGGTGTGGGCAACCCTGAAACTCTGGGGAGTTGGATCTGGTAGTGGTGGCTCTGCCAGGCCAGCCTCAGCCCTGATCATTTCTTCTTCCAGAAGCCCTTGCTCTGAGCTGCTTCTCTGGCGCTACCCTGGGAATCTGATCCCTGAGGCCCTCCGGCTGCTGAGACTGGGGGACACCCCTGAACCCCACTACCATGCAACATTAGCTGGGGACGTAATGGAGCTCTGATGGCTGGTGGGCAGTGCCCCCACGCCCACCTTTCTTCCCCACAACTGAGACCAACACCCTCATGAAGGAACCAGCTGCCCTGCTTATCCCCCAATCCAGGCCTCCAGGACCCTCCCCAGTAGAGGACTTGGAGCCCAGCCAGATGGTGCCCTGGGGAGGGCGGGCAGGCGCACGGGAAGGAGGCATTTCCCCCCCCCAGAACTGAATAAAGATTGCTGAGCTTTATCCTGGGCCTTTGGGAAAGGCAGGAGGGCTGGGACACAGGATGCCGGGGCTTCTCGGATCTTCTCAGATCTTCCCTGGAAATCGGTCAAGGCCTGGCCAGGCCCTGGCAGGCTGGGCTCAGGCATTGAGAATGTGTGAGTCAGAGCCTCGCCCCCGCCCCCGCGGCTGACTCACTCCCTCCCGCGGGCTCTGGGAGGTCAGGCCTGGGGATCCGGCCACTCCAATCCATTTCAAGTTAAAGACTCTTTTATTAATAAATTCTCCCTTCCCTCCAAACTTTCTCCCCAAATAAATATTTCCCCCCCTTTTGAGGGTGGGGGGGCAGTGTCTTAGGGCCAGCCCCCTAGAGGGCCAGCCCCCTAGTGTTAGGAAGGGGTCCCTGACCCCCCAGGCTGAGGCCCCGTGGTGAAGTGTCAGGACATCTGGGTGGGTGAGGCCGGTGTGGTCTGGCCCCGGTGCTGGGGGGTAGGGGACCCCATTGTGCAAACGCTGCAGTTCCTTAGTGTTCACTGTGCTGTCAGCCCGCGTGGGTCTCCTGTCCTGAGGCCAGAGACGCCTCGGCAGGCTGCTGAAGCGCAGCCGGGACCTCAGAGGTGATTCACCCGCACCCCCCTCCGCGCCCCTGCGGCTGAGCTCCGGCGGTGTCCGGGCCGGGCGGCGGGCGGGCTCCGGGGTGAATGAATGAGTGAATGAAGGAGGCGTGGGGCGCCTTCCGCGGGCAGGGGCGCTCGCCGTCACTGGATCAGCGCGACGCCGGGGCAGCCCTCGCCGCCCGTCTCCTCGATGGGGGCTGCAAGGGTGAAACGGGGGGGTCAGCGCGGGAGCGGGGCGGGGCGGGGCGGGGCGGGCGGGCGGGGCGCACTTACTGGTGAACTTCTCTCTCCTGCGGCACCGTTTCCAGACCAGGAAGCCGGAAACCAGCCCCAGCACCAGGGCCAGCCCCAGGGCGCCCCCCAAGATGGGCCACAGCAGCCGGAAGGGGGACGGGGGAGCCGCAGCGCCTGGGGGGGGGCCTCGGCGTCAGACCTCGCGCCTCTCCGGCCGGCCCCTCCCCCATCGGGGCTCGGGCTCCCCCGCCGCGGCCCCCCCTCGGGGGCCGTCCCCCCCGCCCCCCCCACCAGCTCCGCGCGCCGGGGCCCCCCGCGCCCCCACTCACAGCCCAGGCAGAAGTCGCTGTGCGGCCGCGCCGGGCACGACGCGCAGTCCATGCACTTGTCGAGGTCCGCGCTCCAGGCGCTGCCGCGCGAGCAGGGGGTGGCGCCTGGGGAGGGGGCGCGGGTCAGAGGCGGGGGGCGGGGCGCGGCTATTCTGGGGGCTGAGGTCAGGGTCGACCGGCTCGAATAACGTGAGTCACTGACATTCCTCGCAGGTGACCGCACGGCCCGGCCGGGACGCGGCAGCGCGGGGGGGGGGGGCGCAGCGCGGGACGCGGGGGGGGTCAGGTCCCCGCAATCCCCCCGCCGCCGGCGGGTGACTCACTCCTGGGCACCGGGCCCGACCCCGTCCCTCCACCCCCCCACGCATAGCTGGGCACTGAAGTCACCGGATGGAAGGGCACCCCACATGGTATGGGGGCGCAGCCCCCCATGCCTCTGGACACCCACCAGACGCCGGGCCCTGGCGCCGGGTGGGCCCGACAGCGAGCGGGCCGGGGGCGTGCCCTCCGGCGGGACCACGCCGCCCGCCCCAAACTTCCCCGCTTCCGAGTCGGGACCTTCAGGACCGTCACCCCCCCGCCCCCGCGGGCCGGGGCCGGGCGGGGGATGAAGCCCCGAAAGGGCCGGGGCCTCCCCGCCCGGCGATCTCGGCGCGTGGACGCCGCCGGACCCAGGGCCCGCGCCCGCCGGGTCTCCCCAGCTCCCCCGGCCCCGGCCCCGGCCCGCCCCAGCCCGCCCCAGCCCCAGCCCCGCCGCGCGCCCGGCGTACCTGGCGCGCGCTCCCCGGCGGCCGGGCGCAGCAGGGCCAGCCCCAGGGCCAGCCCGAGCGCCAGCGCGAGCAGCCGCAGCCGCGGCCCGGGGACCATCGTGCGCGTCCGGCGGCCGCTGCCGTCTGCGCCCGCGGCCCGGCCCCGCCGACCGCGCCGCCCCGCCCCGCCCCCGCCTTCCGGGGCGGCGCCCGCGCCTCCGCCCGCCCCGCGCGCCGCTCGGAGCCGCCGGCCGGGCGCGGGGCTCGGTCAGTCGTTCGACAAACACGGCCCGCGCGCCCCCTGACCCCGGCCGCTCAGGGCTCACATGGGGGGCTGCACGGGGGGGCCCCGGACGGCACCCCAACTCCGGAGTAAGCGCGCGTGTCCGTCAGCGCCGACCTCGGGCCGCGGCTCCTCGCCGCCACCCCGCCGTGCAGGGCGGGAAACTGAGGCGCGCGCGCCGGGCCCCGCGAGCACAGCGCTGGGGGCGGCGGCGGGGCCTCGGGCCCGGCCGCGCCCCGCGCCCCGCGGCTGCCGCCCCCCGGGCCGGCGGGGCAGGCCGGCGGCGAGGCGGGGACTCGCGCGGCGCTGGGGTCCCTGCCCCTCCCCGGGGCGGGGGTCCGGTGACGTCACGCCGCCTTAAGACCCCCGCGCCCGCCCCGGCCCCGCACTCGCCGGCTCCGACCTCGGGACTCCCGCGCGGTGAGGCCGGCGCCCCCGCCGGGGAGGGGTCGCCGCGGCGCCGGGCGGGGCGGGGGTGCGGGGTGCGGGGGCCGCCCCTGGGTGGGTGCGCGGGGGCCGCCCCGGAGCCGCGGCCGGTGGGTCCCTCGAAGGCGCGGGCGGGTTGGCGCCCCTCCCCCTCCCGGGACAAAGGCGCTGCGGCCCCGCGCCCCTCCCCCCGCGCGCCTCCCCGGGGGCGGGGTGCCCCTCCCCTCCCCTCCCCTCACCTGCGGACCGACCCTGCGCCCGGCGCCGCCATTAACCCCTCCCCGCGTGCGGCGCCCGGGCTGCGGGGTGAGGACACCCCCGCGGCCCGCGCTGGAAGGGGAAGCGGAGACCCTCTCGGGGGAGCGCCTGGGGCGGCCGGCCGCGTGTGGGGGGCGGGGGGGCCGGGCCCGGCGCGGCGGGAGTGGTCTCCGGGGGCCCGGCCGGTGGGTGCAGGTCCGAGCGTGCGCGGGAACTCGGGGCGCGGGACAGCCGCCTGGGGCCGCCGCCCCGAAGTAGGACGTGAGGGGCGGCAGGTGCGGGGTCCGGGCAGGGCCGCCCCGGAGAAACAGGCTCGGGGGACAGACCCTGTGGGGGCTTCAACTCTGTGTCTGAGAAAATGACTTGGGGCACAAATACAGCAGAAGCCCCCAGCCCTGGGGTGCGTGCAGGGCCCGCGGGGGGAGCCCGGGAACATGCGCTCGGCGGGCCGCGCTTCGTGTCCTCCCCCGCCCTCCCCGGCGGGCCCGGGCTGACCGGGGCTGGGCGGCGGCCCACCCGGATCTTAAGATCCCAGCGTTGACCCCCGCCCGGGGCTTGAGCCTCGGGTGGGGGAGCGGCTGGCGCGCCCCTGTGGGGGCGGAGGGGGCCTGATCTCCAGCCCGGCGTGGAAACGGACAGATGTCGAGCCCCGCCGGGCCGCGCCTGGGCCTGCGGGTTCAGCCCCCTTTGGCCTCTCTGCCTTCTGGTAAAACGCACAGGTGCCCGGGGCGGCGCTGCGTGACCTTCCCGTCTTTGTGCACCTGGGCTGGGGCCGCGGGGCCGCGCGCTGTGACTGTTTGCAGTCCCAGGGGTCGGGACAGAAGACACGCTCGTTGTGCCCGCAAGGAAAAGAGGCTGGGGCCTGTCCCCCCACCCCGTGCTGCCCACACTCCAGGACGGCGGCCAGGGCACGGCGGGGGGTAGCGCCGGGAAAGGGGCCTGGGCTCCCCAGTCCTGATGCTACTCGCTTCTGTCCCCCGTGCAGCTCCCCGGCCTCCGCCCCACCATGGCCTCCGCTGGTCTGCAGATCCTGGGGATCATCTTGACGCTGCTCGGCTGGGTGAACGCCCTGGTGTCCTGCGCGCTGCCCCTGTGGAAGGTGACCGCCTTCATCGGCAACAGCATCGTGGTGGCCCAGGTGGTGTGGGAGGGGCTGTGGATGTCGTGCGTGGTGCAGAGCACGGGCCAGATGCAGTGCAAGGTGTACGACTCGCTGCTGGCGCTGCCGCAGGACCTGCAGGCCGCCCGCGCCCTCTGCGTCGTCACCCTGCTGGTGGCGCTGCTCGGCCTGCTGGTCTACCTTGCGGGCGCCAAGTGCACCACCTGCGTGGAGGACAAGGACTCCAAGGCCCGCCTCGTGCTCGCCTCTGGGATTATCTTTGTCATCTCGGGGGTCCTGACCCTCATTCCCGTCTGCTGGACGGCCCACACCATCATCCGGGACTTCTACAACCCCCTGGTGGCCGAGGCCCAGAAGCGGGAGCTGGGGGCCTCCCTCTACCTGGGCTGGGCCGCCGCTGGCCTTTTGTTGCTGGGTGGGGGGCTGCTGTGCTGCACCTGCCCCTCTGGGGGCGCCCGCGGCTCCAGTCGGTACCTGGCTCGTTACTCAGCCTCCGCCCCGCGCACCTCCCAGGGGCCCTCCGAGTACCCCACCAAAAATTATGTCTGATTTGCATAGGAGAGTGGGGCACCCCTGACCGTGGGGCCCAGTCACCTGAGCTGACAGCTTCGGATTTTTTATTTTTTTGGTTTTGCCTTTTATTGGGGTGGGGGGATTACCTTTAAGCCATTTGATAATCCCACCCAGAAGAAACAGACTCCCACCTGAGCGCTCGCCTTTGGATGGAGCCAAAGAAGTGACACTTCAGAGTTTCTGGATCTTTCTCCACCTAGACATCCCCATCTTGGGGGCCAGTCTGGAGCCATGGGCCCAACATGAAAGCTGCTCGCTCTTGGGGTGCTTTGTGACAAGACCCTGTGACAGCCTGTCCCCAAGAGTCCCTGCTGCTGCTGGGGGAGGGACCCCTGGGCTTGCAGGGACAAACCCTCCCTCAGGCCTTTGTTACCAAAGAACCCCGCCCAGCCCTTCACCCTCCTGCCCGTCCCCCTCACCTCCTGCCCCCCTCACCTCCTGCCCCTCACGCTCTGCCACACTCACCCACACTCACAGTTTGTGCTAAATAAAGTGTTTTGTTACAGGCCTGTGGTGTTGCTGGGGGTGCTGAGGAGTGGGTGGTGTGAGTCTCCCCTCGTTGCCCCCATTCTCTGGGACCTGCAGGGCCGGGGTGAGGTTACCCACCTGGCAGGACCCCAAGGGGCCTTGGCCTTGCTGCGATGGCACAGATCAGAGGAGCCGGGGTACAAACGCTCATTTATTCAAGAGTCCCGGTGGGCGGGGGAGGGGCCGGGCCCCGGCTCTGCCGGGGTGGTGGCTCATTGGAGGGCACCGACTCCAGGGCAGAAGCTCCTTGTTTCCAAGCAGGTTCTCTCAGGTTCAGGCCCTGGGGCAGGGAGGGTTCAGGAGGAGGAGGGCCGGGGCACGACGGGGACAACTGAGGGTCGGGGACAACTGAGGGTCGCTCCTGGCCTGGGGAGGGGGGAGCGGCCCTTTGAGCTGGGACTATCCCTGCAGCCAGGCTCGCCAAGGGGCCTTCGGGGAGAGGGGTTGGCGACGACAGGTTAAAGCAGGGAGTCCAGCGCGAGGTCCAGGGTCCCGGTAGAGGCTTCTTTCCGGGACGCCCTACACGTAGTCCCGCTTGTCCAGCCCGGAGGCGCCCGAGCGGGAGGGGATGGAGTAGGCCAGCCTGGGGCCGCGGGGCCGGTCCAGCTGGGGCGGGGGGCACGTGCAGCAGAGGAGGCCCCCGCCCAGCATAAGCAGGGCTGCAGCCGCCCAGCCCAGGTAGAGGGAGGCCCCCAGCTCCCGCTTCAGGGCCTCGGCCACCAGGGGGTTGTAGAAGTCTTGGATGATGGCGTGCGCCGTCCAGCAGACGGGGATGAGCACCAGGACGCCGGCCAGGAGCAGCATGGCCCCCGCGGTGAGCACAATGCGGGCCTTGGCACCCTCGTCCTCCACGCAGGTGGTGCACTGGGCGCCGGTGACGGCCACCAGCAGGCCGAGCAGCGCCAGCAGCAGCGCCACGACGCAGAGGGCGCGGGCGGCCTGCAGGTCCTGCGGCAGCGCCAGCAGCGAGTCGTACACCTTGCACTGCATCTGGCCCGTGCTCTGCACCACGCACGACATCCACAGCCCCTCCCACACCACCTGGGCCACCACGATGCTGTTGCCGATGAAGGCGGTCACCTTCCACAGGGGCAGCGCGCAGGACACCAGGGTCCCCAGCCAGCCCAGCACGGCCAGGGTCATCCCCAGGAGTTCCAGGCCAGTGGACGCCATCTTCCCTCAGGTCTCAGCTGAGCGGCCTGGCTGGTGGGGGGGCTGGCCGGGAGGTCAGGGGCTTCCCGGGGGGTCTCACTGCCCACCCGAAGCAGGGGTCAGCGTCCGCGGCCAGGCGTCTTCACATGTGGATTTCCCCCGCGCGCCTCCTCTCCTCTCTCGGGTGCTCAGCCGAGGCGCGTCCCTCCAGAGGCCCGACACCCGTCAGGTGCCTGGTGGTGGCTGCTGCCCCCACCTCCCTGCAGCCACAGGTCTGACCTGGCTGGCAGGGACCCTGCCAGCCGCCCTCGGGCTGGGCGAGCGCGTTGCCTCCGGCCCGGGCACCCAGCGCAGCGCACCTGGGCTGCGCACCGGGGACTGCGGCTCCCCGCTGAGGCGGGGCTTTAAGACAGGCGGGGGGGGGGGGGGGGGGGGGGGGGCGGGGGCGGGGAGGCCGAGCCTGGGGAAGCCGGTGAGGGAGGAGCTGGGACCGGGTCAGCTGGGAGCCTTGGGGTCAACGGAGAAGTGGGGGTGGCCATGACAGAACGGAGCAGGGACACCCGGGGGACAAGCCTGGGAGGACTGGCAGGGAAGGGTGGAGGGGAGCGGGCTCAGGACTGGGCACTGGACGGGCGGGGCTGCTCTGAGGCCTCCCCAGCCTCCTCCCTAGCACCCCTCCCTGCTGTCTTTGTTGTCCCCGGCCCACCCCGTTTCCTTTAGTGATGAAAATGCACCCCAGGTTCCCCTCCGGGTCCCCCTGCCTGCCGGGACTCTGGGAATCCGATCCGATGATCCGTCTCCTGTCTCAGCCTCTTGGCCCCGTTGGCTCCCGAGGGAAGGGCCCCGCCTGCGCTGTTCCCGGGGCAACAGGTGCCTGGCGCCCAGCTCAGGTGCCATCTCCCGGGCAACGGCCTGGAAAGCCACCTCCCACCTCCACCTCGGCTCAGGTGTGCCCACCCCACCTCCGCTCCTGAAACCGGGGCTTGGAGGAGCTTCTGGCAGGTCTCCAGAGGCCCTGGCACCAGCCTGCCGGAGAGGGGCCAGCAGGGGGTGGAGAGGAGGGGGATGGAGGGGGGAGCCCGGGTGGGGGCCCAGACCCAGGCCAGGCTCTTCACAGGGAGAGGGCGGCCACTCTGGGCCAGCAGGATGGGCGGGCAAGGAGCCGAGGCCCTGGCTTCCCTGACGCCACCTCCCCTTCCTCTGGAGCCCCCTGAGCACCCCGGAGCCTTTGCGAAGCCTCCTTGAAGTTTTACAAATAGGAGATCCTCCCTAGAGGGAGGATCATGGACTCCCGTACGCCCCTCCTGGGCACTGAGACTCAAGGATTGTGCTGTGGAAAGAGCGGCCGTCCAGGGAGCTCCCGCGGGCTGTCTGGACGACAGTCAGAGGCGGGCTAGGCCCTCACCTGGGGAAGACTTTCCCCTGCATGGCTGCTCCTGAGGAAGGCTGCTGCCCACTGCCTGGGCGGGGGCACCCCTCCACAGAACTAGGGCACTAGGGGTGCAGGCGGCCTGGGGGGCAGGGTTGGGCGGACCCCCACGCGGGCACACATGCAAGCTGCATGGCTCCGGCCCTGCAGGGAGGGCACCCACCTGGTCTGGGGCCTCATTTATAAGGGCCTGTGCCTTTGGGCCCCGCCCTTCAGGGGGTAGGTATTAGCGCTTTGTGAGATCTGTTAATTGAAATGACTTTGATTTACGCTGTATGTTTATTTTTATTTTTATTTATTGTGTAGAAGAACTGGGGTGTAGGCCAGAGGTGCAGGGGTTACGAGGACTCACCAGAGACAGTGGGGAGCAGAACAGATGGACTGACTTGAAATCCACCGCTGAGGGGAGCAGCGGGGAGACAGGAGAGGTCTGCAGCACCATGTGGGTCAGCTCCCTGGCCGGGGATTGAACTCACGCCATAGTGCTGATAGCGCTGAGACTCAGCCCCAGGCCACCAGGGAGGCCCGCGCTGTATGTTTTAAGGGTACCGGTTCACTCTTCTTCAAAGATGTGTGGCCACACCACGCCCCCTGGCAGACCGGGTCTTCCCCACAGCCCGCTGGGCCCTGTGCTCCGGCCCAGCCTCAGGTCTGCAGTCAGATTTCCGGGGCTTGCTTTGCCTTGGTCTGTTCCTTTGGGCTCTCTGTGCCCCCTCAGGAGTGATGTGTCTGGGGTTGTCCTTCTGTCCCTCTGCCCCAGGGCTCCGTGGCCCCTGGCGCCTCCTCTGCCGTCCTGACAGGCGGCCCCGGCGGCCCGCAGCCCCCGGGCTTGCACGTGTTTTCACTGCCAGTGGGGTCAGCGTTTTCGGAAGAGGGTCATCAGCTTTGCAAGGGGGTGGACGGCCCCAGAGCTTGCCCCTCCTCTGAAGTGGGGAGGGTGAGTCAGCCCCAGTCAGCTGGCCTGGAAGGTAGACCCCGTGGTGGGCACCAAGGTGCCCCCGAGGGTCATGGCCGCGCTCCAGGTGGCCCCGGGGTGCAGGAGGACGCGGGGGGACGTGAGGACCTCGGGCTGGAGAATGGCTGGGGCTGTGCTGACTGGGCGGCTCCAGTGTCTTAGGGGCTGTTTGTCCAACCCCAGGGGGACTGAGGGGGGAGGGGTGGCTGGGAAGAGCAAATAGAGGCTCGTCTGTCCCTGGGCTCCCCCTGGGCCTTCCTTCCGGCCGCCAGGAATCCAGCCGCACAGGTCTGGGCAGGTGTCTCTGGAGGGGCCCAGGACCCACCTACCAGGCCTCCCAGGGGATTGCCCCGCCCAGCGCTTCTCCCCCTCAGGCCGGAGGGCGGCCCACCTCCCGCCTGGGGTGTAAGTCACCTGCTGGTCCTGATTTGCGGGGACACTCCCAGTTGGAGCTGAGTCCCCTGTGCCCTGGAGGCGCGAGCTAGCCACTCAGGCTCGGAGCCCCGAGCTGTGGGGCCAGCAGCCCGATGGCCATAGGCGGGCCCTGCTGTTGCAGTTCCAATTCCTCTCTGTCCCCACATTTCCATATTCTAGCAGGAGGACCCCCCCCCGCACTGCCAGGGGCTGGAAAGTGGGTGCCCCCTCACCCCAGCCCTGTGGACCTGCCTTCAGGGTGGCCCGGGAAACTCAGCTTCCGACAGATCCACTCCTGGGATCAGAGAAGACCAGGCGCGAGAGGAGATGCAGGGGGGGATCTGCACGGGCGCCGGGGTTGGGGGGCCGAGGAAGTGCCCGGGCCGGCCAGAGACATATCCCCTCCACCCTCCCAGGTCCCTTCCTGCACCCAGCCCCCCTGGATTCTGTGGGATCTGGGAACCTAGGGGTTAAATTTGAGGCCTGAACCGGGACTCCAGAGGGGCAAGAATGCCATTCATATGGAGAGCGGGGCCGCTCACCATCTCAAAGGCACTTTATCGCATCTGGCGTCCCCCTCCCCCCACCTCGCGCCCCACCTCCACTCCGGAAGGCGGGAGGAGGCCGAGGCGTGGAGAGGAGGGCCTGGCCCTCTCCAGCCCCTGGCGGTCCGGGACCGGCCGCTCCATTGTTCTCCGGGAGTTCTGAGGGGCCAGAGCTGGGTGGGGCCAGCAAAGTGGATTAACTCCAGCCCCGTCTCACTCCTAGAGGAGATGCGTGGCCCCCTGACAAAGGAGGGTAACAGGTGGTCACGAGGGCCCCATGGTCCCAAGAGGGGGTGGGAGTGGGTACTGGGCCACAGTCACCCTGAGGGCAGGGTCATGCTGCAGGGGGGCTGCGCTGAGGCCCTGATGTTGCAGCAAAGTCAGGTCCCCAGGTTCCTGAGACAAAAGTTCCCATAATGACCCTGAGTTTGCTGCCCCCATTTTACAGACAATATAGCAAGCTCATGGGACGTGGCCTGATGCATGGGTGGGGGGGTGGGGACGGTCAGACCTGGAGCATGTCCCAGCGGACCCCTCTGGCCCAGGATCTGCTGGCCGAGTTTCCGGTCAGCTGGGACTCCAGAGCCACCTGTCCCAAAAGCAGAGTGGCCCGGACCCCCTCCCAGATGCATCCTCCCACATGCCAAGTCACCCACCGACATCCTCCCACCTTCTGCAGCAGGCACCCTGGTCATGCCAATGCCCTAGTCTCAGATGGTCCTGGGTGTGACCACAGGGAGGAACGACCTGCCTACCTCCAGGTGGCCTCGCGCAGCCCAGCCCACAAGTGGGACTGGAGGCTGCCGACTCCATGCCACGGGTAACCATTAACCTTTATCAGTGGTCAAAGGGGGGAATTGTTAGGGGAAAAGGCTGTCCTGAAGCTAATTCCATACAGGCTTCGTGGACTCCACCCCCACCCCAGGCCAAAGCCAAAGACACTGGGAGCTCCAAATCCCATCACCACCCAAGGGAAGGGGGCTGGGACCAAGGGTGGGGTTCAGTAGCCAGGTTGGTATAAAGCCAGACACGTGGGCTTTGGAGGGGTCCCCCATTTTGGCTCCCCGCCAGCTCGCAGCATCTGGCCAGCTCGGAGATTGCCTTTGGGTTTCCAGGTTGTCGGATCAGGTAGGATGCATTTAAGACTTTATTTCCCTATTTTCTCCCTGAGTTGTACATTTCCTTCTTTCTCTTTCCCTTATAAATAAACCTTTTATGAACCTTTTGTGTGCCTGCAGTGGAGTATTAAGAAGTCCCTTGTAAGCGCGCGGGTGAGGACCCACAGCCAGGCACCCCCTTCAATATCGGGGCTGCCCTATATACCAGTCAGCTTTCGTTTGTTTGTTTGGTTTTAAAGATTTATTTTTATTTATTTATGCACAAAGAACTGGGGTACAGGTCACAGGTGCAAGGGGTGAGAGGTTTCACCAGAGACAGAGCCGGGAGCAGACCAGGCGGATCCACTAAGATACATTGCTGAGGGGAGCATCGGGGAGACAGGAGAGGCCTGCTGCGCCCTGTGGTTCAGCTACCTGGCTGGGGATCGAACCCGGCCAGTGATAGCCTGAGACTAATCCCTGTGCCACCAGGGAGGGCTCTACCCATCTGTTTTAAGGGTGGGGTGGCCCCCACCTGGCTGCTGTCTTTCAGAGGCACATTCACTCTCCTTTCTGTTTGCTGCCACGTTCTCAGGGGAGAGGGTTTCAGGCCCCAGGAAAGCAGCTAGAGGGA